GACCCGTGGTTTCTAGCTCTCCCTTGGAAAAACAGTTTATTTCTGATTTTCTTATAAGAAGTTTTAGAAAATCTTACATAATCATTAGATACTTTAAACAAACCTCACGTTATAATAGTTGCCTTTCACATTAACATTAACTTTCACACCATATTCAATCTTATGTAGTTATAAAAATTGTTTTTTACATTAACAATAAGTTTTAACATTAGAAATAATCACACTAGCTAAAGTTTTAGCAATTCAAGCTTAAAATTGTAAGAAACATTCCAGGTGGTTTTAGTCAAGGACATTAAGGCTTTTAGAAAGCAGCTTAGGAGACAGTCAAGGGCAGTGAGAGCTTGGGAACAGAGGTAGGAGTTTGATTAGAAGTTTTGATAAATTGTTAGCATGAGAGAATTACTGCTTTGTTCTTAACTATGAAACTTTAGGGTACTTTTATGTTCTTGTTTTTACTGTTTGATCAATTATATATATGACCAGTTATAGTAAAAATTATGTTTTTGATTGTAAGCTGTAAGTAAACATCTATAGAAAGTAATAGTTGTTGGTGAAGTTAGAAATTAAGATGTAGAACTTTGTTTAAAATTAACTAGACATTTTAGGGAGGATTAGAGAAGAAAGAGTGTCGCTCACAGAAGGCAGACGTTATCACGGTAGCTAAGAAGTAACTAAGGAGTATAGAGACACAGGAATGTTTAGTGACCTTGTATTCCTCTGTACCGTTGATGTAACAATATAATATTTGATTGATTTGTAACTGCTTGTACCTGACTGTTATGAGATCATTGTTGTTGTTGTTGTTAAGTGCCATCAAGTCGGGTCCAACCCATAGCGACCCTGTATAGGGTTTCCGAGGGTGTAAATCTTTACGGGAGTAGAAAGCCTCATCTTTCTCCCACGGAGCGGCTGGTAGTTTCAAACCGCTGACCTTAAGGTTCACAGCCCGATTCGTAACCACTACGCTACCAGAGCTCCTTCGTATGTTCTAAATGAGATATAAGAAGCAACAATTTTGAAACAAACAGTCAAGGCAGCAGTCAGAGAGAGAGTCATCAGAAGAGAGCCATTACCATCATCTGCCTGAGACTCAAAATGACCCATTGACTCTTTGAGTTTATTTTATTTTATTTTATTTTATTTTTTTCATTTGCCGACTCCACATCCTCCTATCGAGACCCTTCTAATAATTGTGTCGAGGCTGGTCCCCAGCATGGTTGATGTTCAATCATTTCAAGAGGTAGAGTATGATCAAGAGCCAATGATACTGAAGGAAGAAGTCAAAGGTGCATTGAAGGGACTGGCAAAGAACAAGGCACTGGGAATTGATAGAATATACATTGAAATCTTTCAAGAAAGTGAGGCAGCACTGGAGACACTCACTCACTCATCTATGCCCAGAAATTTGGAAGACAACTATCTGGCCAACTTATTGGGAGAAATCCACATTTTTCCCATTCCAAAGACAGGTGACCTAACAGAATGCAGAAATCATCTGACAATATCTTTGATATCCCACGCAGGTAAAGTTTTACTAGCGGTAATAAAGAAATGGCTGCAATCATACATTGACAGAGAACTTCTAGAGGTTCAAGCCAGATTCAGAAAAGACCATGGAACAAGAGAGATCATTGCTAACGTCTAATGGATCTTGGCTGAAAACAGAGAATAAGAGAAAGATGTTTACCTGTGCTTTACTGACAATGTAAAGGCCGTCGATTATGTGGATCATGACAAGCTATGAACAACATTGCAAAATACAAGTGTTCCGGAACACTTATGGTGCTCATGAGGAGTCTGTACATGGACTAAGACGCAGCTCTTCAAACAGAACATGGGAACACTGAATAAAATTAGGAAAGGTGTGTGACAAGGTTGTGTTCTTCCACCATAATTATTCAACCTGTATGCTGAGCACATAATCCAAGAAACTGGGATATATGAAGAAAAATGTGGAATCAGAATTGAAGGAAGACTCATTAACAACCTGAGATAAGCAGATGACACAACCTTGCTTGCTGAAAGTGAAAAGTATTTAAAATACTGATGAAGATCAAAGACCACAGCTTTCTGTATGGATTGCATCTCTACATAAAGAAAACAAAAATTCTCACCACTGGACCAATAGACAACATTCTTATCAAAGGAGAAAAGATTGAAATTGTCAAAGACTTCATTTTTCTTGGATTAACCATCAACACTCATGGAAGCAGCAGTCAAGGAATCGGACAACGTATTGAATTAGGCAAATCTGTTACACAAGATCTTTTTAAAGGGTTGAAGAGCAAAGATGTCAGCTTGAGGACTAAGGTGTGCCTGACACAAGCCATGGTATTTTCAATAACCTCATATGCATGCAAAAGCTGGACAGTGAATAAGGAAGACCATAGAAGAATTGATGCTTTTGAGTTATGGTGCTGGAGGAGAATATTGAAAGTACCATGGGCTGCCAAAAGAACAAACAGATCTGTGTTGGAAGACATACAGCCAGTGTGCTCCTTGGAGGCCAATATAGCCAAACTTTGTCTCTTCTACTTTGGACACATTGTCAGGAGGCACCAGTCCCTGGAGAGAGATATCATGTTTGGTACATTGGAGGATTAGAGAAAAAGAGGAAGACCCCCAGCAGATGGACTGCAAATGTGGCAGCACCAATGGGCTCAAGCGTGGCAACAATTGTGAGGTTAGCCCAGGACCGGGCAGTGTTTTGTTTGTTCTGCAGAGGGTCGCTATCAGTTGGTACTGACTCGATGGCACCTAACTACAACAACCTACATGAGAAAATCAATCTAATGTTTCTTATATAAATTCAAAAGATTTTCATTACATTCAGGAAGAAGTCAAAACTCCTTAGTAATCTAAGTTTCTTCTCAATAACCACTCCACTAATAGCCTATTATTTCCTTACATGAACATCAGTCATTTTCATTGTCTTTAAGAAGTTATGTATTACCAAAAAAATAAAATAAAACAGAGGGAATAGAAGTAAATGCTATTGAATGATGATTCATGGAGGGGATTGTAGTCAATTCAATGAAACAAAATACAATAGGATTAGTGTAAAGCTGAAGTTCTCCCACGTAAAGTATCACTCAATTCACAATAAAAACTAAAAAGAAAAAAAGTTACGTAGTTTTGATCTATAATACCTAAAAGATTTTTCTTTTAAAGCCCAGGATAAAACACCCAGAATTAAATATTACCTTTAAAAATATATCTCCCTAAGTATTTTTGTTTGTTTTTCACTATTCTTACAAATCATTAACATATTCATAATTCTTTGTAGTACAGAAGTCTCCCAACTTTCTCATCTCCAAGTTTCGCATAGGCAATCAATATTCACTGTTTATCTTCTCACCTGTGATCACTACTCAAAATGATCTTCTATTCAATCTTAAACGTTCTATGTAATATATGTGTGAGTGTGCGTAAATATATGTATGCGTAGGTATAAGGACTTCATACAACTCACATAAAAATTTCATTATCCTTTAATTCAATTTTTCTTTGAACTTTTTGAAACCCCCTCATGTATATTAATTTATACATATTGAATATATAAACACTGTTGTAAAAGATACATTATTTTGCATTTTTAACACCTCACAAGATTTTTTATTTGGCAAACATTCATTTGTCTTGAAGCCTATTTTCTTGTATTTTTACCTGTATATTTAAACATTCTATAACCTACAACTTGATATCAAGCTTTCCAATTACTTGCTCCAAGATTTGAAAAGTTAGGATTTTATCATGCCAACCCTGTGCAGGACTCCACGGTACTTAACAACAACAACATGTCATCAAATTAACTGTTTAGGACTTGAATATTTTTATTCTCTTCCAATAATTGTTTAAATTGTCCATGAAGACATTTTCTTAAAAATGAATATTTCTGAATGGATTTATACAAGTTCCCAAACCTTTTTAATTTGGAGATACCAATTTCAATGAACACACACACACACAAGATGGCTTCAAAACATGCACAGAAAATTGGAATTGAAAGATAATAGAATTTTTCATGAATTTTTAGAAGCCCAAAGATAGACAGACAGAAATATAAGTTGATTCATAGGTAGATGATATATTATAGATAGAAAGATAGATACACAGATAGATGCATAGGTACATATATAGATACACACATATGTTGTTGTTGTGAAGTGTATGAAGGGGCTTTAAAAGTTCATGGAAAATGGAACTAAAAGATAATGGAATTTTTCCCATGAACTTTTTGAAGCTCCATTGTATGTGTGTGTGTATTTCCTCTACATTAATATTTAAAAAAATAATAATAATTTAATGGCTTCTTTATTTTATTTTCATTTTTATTGTGAATTGAGTAATAGTTTACATGGGAGAGTATCAGCTTTTCATTCATCCTATCTATTGTTTCATTGCAATGATTACAATCCCCCCCATGCATCATCATTCAACAGCATTTGCTTCCAATTCCTCTGTTTTTTTGGGGTGTACACTGAAGCACTCAGGAATATATAACCATTCAAACAACCGAAGGGTATACCCTGCACGCCAGCCTCCCAGCTACCAGCTCAGAGCCCCTCTTCTTCTAATGTGCACACACACTGACCTGCACAGCAAAGGTTACTGGACAGTCTGCTACTGTTTCGCTTTTGTTTTGTGTGCTAGTTTTTGTCTCTGCTTTTATATGGTTTCTGTTTTTGATCCTTTTGGTCTCATTTTTTTTTCCTGGGAGTGGGAGCTTTCTCTCCCATGTTACCCAAGAAGAGACAGCAATTGTGATCATACAGCCAAGCTACAAGCATACCCCATAATATCCTACATTAATATTCTTAAACCAATATATTCCAAAATAAGGTTATATTAATATGTTCACTAGTTTATGACGTTTTATACAAACCATGCAAATAAACTGATGAACTTATGTAATTTAGGTATAAAGCGTAGAGGGTAAAATCAGTAAATGAATTCATCAGTAAATGAATTGAAAATGAAATCCTTAAAAAGCCAATTACCTTTCTCAGAGCAGGGCAGAAATTAAAGAAAAGTCGGTGGTTACATGCTCGGAATCTTTCAGGAAGCTGCCAGTTCTGGATTATTTCTTCATCAGAAACCACATGATGATCCAGCGCTTTAAGAGACCATATACTATTAACAAGAACATGTCTATATCCTTTTTTAAGGCTTACTGGACAATCAAACATAGTGAGGGCAATGAGATTAGAACAGGCAGATAACACACATATATTCTTTAACTTTGCAAATCCATTGTCATGAAGATAGAGGAGTTTTAGGTTCTTCAGTCCAATCCAAAATCTGGTTTCTGGTAGAGTTTTTATCTGAAATTGTATTAATTAAAAACACTTTTAATTAAAATATTGATTTCCTATAAATTTCATGGAAAATGGACATTTTGAGCTATTTATCAAATATCTTCTAAAATACTTTCTCAAATAGCACATTTTCAAGTAATAAGAAAACACAGAAAACTTCCAACTATTCAGATGACATTTGGGTCATCTGATGAAAAATATCACACAGTGAACATTGGGGAAAACAAGCATTACTAGAGTAATTAAATAAAGCAACATATGTACTTCCATTCAATAAAATCTCTTTTGTAATAAATGAAACTTAAAATTTTTATAGTTTTCTTATATAAAGAATTACAGTCAAAAGCAAGTGTATTTGAAACTGTACATTTGAAAGTAAAATGCACCAAATAATTCAGTTCATTTATTTTTAATTTTGTTTACATTTTATTTTGTTTTTATACATTTCATATTTATATGTTTACATTTTAGATCAAAGGTTTTCTAGGAGAAGCAGCATAGAGAGATGACATAAAAGGCTGTTATTATATACAGTTTTGATTATGTGTAAATGGCTGAACTGTTGCTTACCTGATTTCCATGTAGATCAAGTTTGATTAATTTTAAACAACTTTCAAGGGGCTGTATATCTGTGACAAAATTGTTTGAGAAGATGCATACTCTAAGAGAGATACAGGATTGTAAGTTTTCCATGGATTTTAAATGAAGTCCATTAAACTTCACAAAAACAAAGTCTTTTTGATCTTCTATCATGCTTTTATTGTAGTGACTCCATTCATCATGGCTGGTTAGCTCTTTTGTAATTGTTCCATGAAACATCTTGTAAAAAAGGGAAATAAGTTATTTTTTAAACTTTCAAAGTAAATCTATATTAAAAACAAAAGTATGCTAACACATAATAAGAATTTTGGATTGGACTGAAGAACCTAAAACTCCTCTGTCTTCATGACAATGGATTTGCAAACCAAATGGATGTCAGAAAAATTTCTGAGACTTACTTTTGTATATAGAGAAGCTAAACAGAATGGAAAAAATGAGGAGGTAAAAGAGCTGAACAGAAAATTTCAAAGTGTAGCTAGAGAAGACAAAATCAGTGAAATATGTAAAGACCTAGAGTTAAAAACCCAACAGGTAAGAACATGCTCAGCATTTCTCAAGATTAAAGGACTGAAGGAAAAAAATCCAAGGCTTGGTTGCATAATTGTAGGATTCTATTTGGCGCTGTGTGTTAATGTGCTGGACTGCAAAGTTGTTTGAACCGCAACACTGGTGGTCCAAGCTCACTAGCTGCTTCTTGGAAACTCTATACAGGATTGCTATTGGTCAGAACCAACTCAATGGCACTTGACAACAACAACAACACTGTAGGATAAGCACTGGACTGTGAGTCAGTCAGCAGTTCAAAACCAGAAGGTGCTCCTCAGAAACCCGATACAGGATCCCTATGACTTGGGACTGATCGGAGGGCACTTAACAAAAACAACAATAATGGGCAAAGTATCAAATGATGCAGAAGGCATCAAAATAAGTTGAAAGAAATACACAATCACTCTACCAAAAAAGAATTGGTCCATCTTCAGCAATTTCAAGAGGTAGCATATAATCAAGTACCAATGGTATTTTAATAAGAAGTTGAAGCTATACTGAAGGTATTGGCAAAAAACAAGCTTCCAGGAATTGAAGAATTATAAACTGAATTCTTTCTACAAACAGATGCAAACAGGTGCTCACTCATATATGAAAAGAAATTTGGAAGAAAGCTACCTAGTCAATCAACTGGAATAAATCTATATTTGTGTCTATTCAAAAGAGAGGTGATTCAATAGAATGCAGAAAACATAAAAAACATCACTAATATAAAATGCAACTACAATTTTGCTGAATATAATTAAAAAACGATTGCGACAGTTCATCTATAGGGAACTGTCAAAAATGCAAGTGAACTAGGAGACATCAAGGCAAGTAGTCGGATTCCCTCAGGGCAACCCTCCTTCTAAAACTAAGACTCAGTAAGAATACACCAGCAAACATGCGCTCTCACTGGTGACTACGTTGGTCACCGATAAGGGGAAGTGAGGGAAAAACAGCAATGAAGCTGCAAGTTAAATCATACCACACGTTTAACAGACTGCTGTGAACCCTGGTGGAGACCTGGTTGGCCAGCAGTATGACAAGACCTGGGGCCTCCTGGGCCCAGAGTCAGTGACATAGCCACAGAGGACTAGAAGGGAAAGTAAAGCATCCAGCTGATAAGAAGAGAGGGCATATGCACAAGAACACCCACACTTTCAGATAATACCCAGTTGACCTCACTTCAGTGGCTGGATAATCAGAACTCAACTAGAAAAAGAAAGAAGAGGAAAAAAAGAGTAATCTGATACAATTTGATGAATTTGACCTACACCTATGGATTCAGGAACTCAAAAGAGGGCACAAATATTTACAGTGAGGATTATTCCCACCCCACCCACATACACAGAGTAGACAGGGAGGGGCAACTTGGACATTGGCTAGCCAAAATGGGGGTGGGGAGGGCCTACAAAGGCAAGAAGTGACTGGCTTACAAGTTTTCAAGAGGGCGCTTAGATCCAGAGGGCGTGAAGGAAGGTAGAATCTCCACTGAGTAGTATCCAATCTCTCTGGGTGGGACTGATGAAAGGAGATGTGGACAGCACTTATATGGCACAATAGTGAATAACTGCTATCAGGACTGACTTGAGGGTTGAAAATGTTAAGGTAGACATTTTGTAGCAAAGGAGGGGGAGTGGTTGACTTTTCAGTCCAGGAGCAGAGGTCTCTGGGACCATCAAGGGAGAAGAGTGAAGTGCGGGACCCTACCCAGAGAAACAATGCTGTCAGAAATGGAAGCAGAGATTATGATGTGGAGAGATGGAGCGGCTGGAGCCTCTAGACCCAGAGGGGAGAGGGGATGTGTGCTGACAACGGAGGGGCAGGCTTACAGGGTACAACCTTTGGTTGGTTGATGATGCATGGAGGGGATTATAACTATGGCAATGAAATGATATGATAAGATGAATGTAAAACTAGTGTCCTCCCATGTAAACTATCACATAATTCACAATAAAACATTAAAAAAAAAAAAAAATTCAAGCGAGATTTAGAAATGGACTAGGAACTACAGATATCACTGATGACACCAGACAGATCTTGTCTGAAAACAAAGAATACCAGAAAGATAAATACTTGTGCTTTATAAAGTATGCAAAAGCTTTCCACTGTGTAGATCATGACAAACTATGGATAGTACTGTATCCATAGTATGTAGGTATTCCTAATTACTTAACTCTACTCCTGAGAAACCTGTACATATACCAAGACACAGTTGTTAGAACAGAATAAGAGGATACCGAATGGTTTTAAAAGTGTGCCAGATTTGTATTCTTTCTCCATAGTTATTCAGTCTGTATGTTGAACAAATAATCTGAGAGCTGGCTAATATGAAGTCGAACATGGCATCAGGACTGAGCAAGAATCATTAACAACCTGAAATATGCAAATGATACAACCTTGCTTGCTGGAAGAAAAGAGGACTTAAAAGACTTACTGATGAAGAACAAAAACTGCAGCTTTCTGTATCAATTGCACCTCAACGTAATGAAAAATAAAATCCTCACAACTGTACCAATAAATAACATCATGAAAAATGGAGAAAAGATTGAAGCTGTCAAAATTTTTATTTTGCTTGGATCCACAGTCAACACTCATGGAAGCAGCAGTCAAGAAATCAAATGACATACTGCATTAGGAAAATCTGTTGCACAAGACAGTGTTAAAGAGCAAAGATGTCATTTGGAGGACTAAGATGTGTCTGATCCAAGCCATGATATTTACAACTGCCTCATATGCATAAGGAAGTTGGACAATGAATGAGGAAGACAGCAGAAGAACTGATGCATCTGAATTATGGTGGTGGAGAATATTAAATGTACCACGAACTTCCAAAAGAATAAACACATCTGGTTGGAAGAACTGCAACCAAAATGCTCCTTAGAAGTATATTTCTGACATGTTATCAGGAGAAATCAATTCCTGGAGCAAGACATTATGTGCATTAAAGTCGATGATCAGTGAAAAATGAGCAAGATTCCCAACAAAATGCATTGACATAGTGACAACAGAAATGTGCTAAATGTAACAATTGTGAGAATGTACAGGACCAAGCAGTGTTTTGTTCTGTTGTGCAAGGGATCACTATGGGTCAGAATCAAGCTGAAGGTAACTAATAACAACAAGAATAACAACATGTGTCAACCATGGATTATATCAATGAACTAGATTCGCTTGGTTTTTTTCTATTTCATTACTGATGTAAGGAATTGACATTTACTAGTCTGGCTGGTGCAAGGCCTCTTGCATCCACCCCCACACACAGCATACTCCCAAATATCTGTCCCACCCCCATCCCCTCCCCCACCATCTGACCTTTACATGGATTGTTTGGAGGGCCCTGCCTGGTGATCGTTACCTAAATTGTGTGGAAAGTCTCACCCAGTAACTGATTAAAACCCTATAGAATACTGTGTTCAGATGGAACCTCCTAATCAAGGAGAGCCAGGAGGGAATCAAACAGTCCTGTGCTGAGAGCTTCTTATAATTGATAAACCTGGATGATAGCAGGATTGTAAAGCCCAAACTGGGAGCCATCTGAGAGGAGCAGCTGGCAGCAGAACCAACTAAGTAACATCACAAAACAATCCCGGGTTCAAAGATTTTCTTGTTAAGAGTGAGCATCTGTTCCCAGAATGTCCTTTGAGACATTGAGGATCCAGGGACCCCTCCCAGACCTTAGTTTTCCTATTTATATCTTTGTCTATACTCCTCCATTATCAAAGTTGTGACTGCAGATATAGCTTTTCTATGAGTCATCCTTGCAATGAATCCTTAAACGTAATAGTGAGAGGTGTGGAGGAAACTGCTCCTGTCAGAAATGGCAGAGAAGTTGAAGAATGGCAGCATATTTTACCACCACCTCACTGGAACCACTTTTGTCCTGGTGTGGCGCTGTGGGTTAATGCCCTGGACTGCAATGCCAGTTTGAACCACACGGTTGGTGGTTCAAGCTTACCAGCTGCTCCTCAGAAACCCTATACAGGGTAGCTATGAGTTGGAACCAACTTGACAGCACTTAACAACAATTATTATATTATTACATAAATGGAATTCTGGATACTGGATTTCAGAATTATCATAACAATTGCTAAGATTCTGCTCATAAAATAAAACATGAACTAAAGATAAAAAGAAAGTTTTATTTTCTATAAAATCTAACTGTATGGTTTATAATTTATAATATTTTATATAGCTGTGGTTGCAAAGTTTATTTTAAGTTTAAAATGTTTGTAACATATTTAAGCCCATCAATATCAATAAAATAAAGCAATTAAAATTTTAATATAGTTTTATTTGGCCCAAAGAAGTTAAAATGCTTTCATAAAGATTTGCTATAATTTTATATCATAGACAACATGTATTTTAGAGATCAGGGAGAAAGCATTCTAGTAGGATAGTCAGAATTATATGTAATACTCCTGGCAAATTACAATGAAATATAGTGTGGTACACTATCTTCTCATCTAAAATGTCCATCCAAATAACATGGATACGTGTATAGAAAGCACAGGGAATGAATAAGCAAGGGAGTTGTGCGATTTCCAAAACAAAACAAAACACACAAAAAAAACAAAACCACAAAACACACATATATATTATTTGTGAAAAAAAAAAAACCCACACATATTATTTATGCAAAAAAGTGGGGTTTTAATTAATACATATAATCCTGACTGTTTGAAGCACTG